TGACAGCTTACCAATTGACGCATTCTGATAATTATTGTGATTTTTTTTTTTTTCAAAGAAACTTCCATAGGCTACTGTAATAATTTTTACAAAACTTCTAGATTCCTCCTGCGTCGGTTTTTGTTGAGTCGGACTTGCTAACGTTTCGCCAACCCTCCTGTTGGCTTCTTCAGAGCTTGACTTAAACTGGCTCGCGTTTTACTCTGTACCTGCTTATATATTGTTTGAGGGGGGCAGAGGTAAATGAGGGACATAAGTACCATCTGGGATGACTGATACCCATATTGGTGACAGGTAACGACCTGAGTCGCGGTTAAGATTGTTAGGTTGCTTGTTATGTTGGTATAGACTATTGCATTTTTCGTTGGTAGATGAATTGATTACAGGCACGAATTTTAATTTTGGGCTGGAAGATATTATGGAATACCACAGATACCTTAAAGAAGTGGTAAATGCTTTAGAATCTGATCCAGAATTCCGAAAGAGACTAGAAAAAGCTGAAGAAACTGAGATCAAATCAGGCAAGATAGCAGATGAGTTGCAGTTTGTGTCGCACCATGTCAGAAATAGATTGGACGAACTTCAACGCCTGAAAGAACTGATGCAGTTTGGGGAGGGTGACTCAAATGACATTCATGAGGATCCAACTCATCATCACTTGAACCACAGCAACCCGCACACCTTTGAAATAGAAGTAATTTTAAATTTAAATGATTGGTATATTCTCACTATTATGCATTTATTTGACATTGGCAGCTATATACACAATCGACTTATACATACCTTTTTTGCAAGACAGAGTCAAACCACCATAAACGATGAAAAGGTTTATTATATTATATCTCGGTCCGCATTAAAGATAAGGAAATGCAGTTTTTACGCAAAATTAACACCACAATTTGTCGATTTTGTTCTAGCTATAGCTTAGTACGCTATAGCTACAAATTATTCGGCGCTATCGGATTGCGCGTGGGTTTCTCCGACGAAACGTTTGAGATTTTTCTTTTTCTGGAGGTCGGGGTTGCTATATAATAGGCAAGTGACAGATAAACCGCGTCTCTTGTAATTTTCACCAATTCACGTTAAAGTGAATGTTGGTCGAGGAAATTCCACGAATTCACCTGAATCATTCAATTTAGGGATCTTGAAAATTTTAATTGAGAAAGAATTACTACGGGTTTGTCAAAATCAACAAGGAAACTAAACAACTCACTTCGCGTAAAACTTGGAGCAACGTAAAATTTATTTCATCCAAAAAGTGACAATTTATACACTATTGTTCACTATACAAACCACTAATAATTCGTGTAACATCTTATTATTTATATAGGTAATTTCATTATTTACATTTCCGTCCTATACAGTTTCACTGTTCATATACATCCCGCCCATCCCGTTAGACTCGCTAGGCCACGGAGATATCACAATAGATAAAACTTTTTACAAAATCGGTAAGTGTCAGTAAGTCATTAGACTTCGGTAAATATTACAAATATTCAACATATCTCTGGCATGTTTCTTTATTTCTAATTCGATATTTCTTTTATTTTGATAACTGCCGCTCATCTTATTATCGAACTGGAATGGTTCCAGTAATGTAGTCAATAGGAATTTGGTGCGGCAAATGTTATTTATAATGATAATAATTGGTGGGAACTATTATGTTCTATAGAAGATAGGCAAACATTAGAGTTAGAAATATACAGGATTTTCGATTCAAAAAGACGCCGTTTTTGCATTTTTCTGCATTCCCCATCTTTGATACAGTTGTTATAAGGTTCAAACAAAGTTTCATTTTTTTGGTAAGCAGAGTACTCCTCCATGTTGACTTGATTTGAATAAATAACAACTATTTCCAAATAATAACGAAATTTATGCGTGTTACTAAGAACTAAAAAGTAAATCAGTTATTTGACATTGATTTGATAAAAGACACTGCTATTTTCTAAGCAACATTATATGAAAAAATTAAAAACATTTTGAATTTCTATGTATATCAATTTTTATGCGTTTTTTCGACGGTTTTTAAATTTTATTATAAACTTTATTTTACACAAATATTTAAAGAAAATGTTGTTTAATCACAAAAATGAACGTGTTAATAATTTGAATATAAAATAACCACACAACCCGATTCTCCCATTTATACAAATTAGCAGGATAAATGCAACAATCCCCATTACTAGCCATTTTTTTCTATTGTAATATATTCCTTACTTTTGTGTCACGCAGGTGCCACACACACTACACGTAAACACTAAACCTACTGCGAATTCAATAATAATATTCTAGTTAAAACGAACCAATTAAGTAAACCAACTTAACCTCAAAAAACGAGAAAGCGTAACCGGCGACGTACGTCGTTGATTAATCCGCGTCCCGTTGAAAGGAGACGATCTACAGCGTCGAGAAAGAATTAAAAATCAACGCGACCGCGGGAAGAGGGGTTATAAATATATGAGAGTCTGTACGGCCGCAGTCAGCTGACAGAAAAAGCTACAAATTATGTCCTTGTCAACTTATACAAACGTCTTAGATACACCGAGAGATACCTTAAAGCTAGCTAACCTACGAGAACGACGACGGCAGGAGAGCGACGGGTATACCGGTACCGAGACGCTATCGGTACGCCCGCGGGTACTGCTCGGTACCCCCCCGCGCAAGTCACTATCTCGCTATACACGTCGCAGTACCCGTTGTCCCGCTAATGTTATAATTAAATCAAACGTCTGCGACGATCACCGCACTAAGTCTGCCGCACTGTTTGTATAGTGCAAATGCGATATGTGCGGTCTATGTACCGCCACTGCTTTTAGGCGCCCCCAAAAATCCTCCACGTTTCTTCCGTGTAGACTGAATATTTTTGAAAGGCACGCCACTGCTTTTTATACCTATAAGGTAGTAGATAGCGGACCTATTACACCTGGGATGTGAACAGAGTGGTCACATATGTCGTGGTGCTTTAATAAGCTAAGGGCACTTCTTATGGATTGTTTCACCACAAGCACTGCAATCGGACATGATGGAGGGTAACTGCCCTACCCTGGTTGGATATAGGCTCGACAGATATGGAGATGAAGGAGATTAATTTATTGAGAGCTTATTAGGAGTGGAATCGGATCGTTTTCATTGGTGAAGCACACTTTTATTTATGAGCTCACGATGACCGTAAAAGATTCCCACGGAACACGTGGAGAAGGGCGCCAACTTCAATTTTGCATGGAGCGTGAAGTTGCGCTTACTATAGGGACGTTATGGTTTTGGGTGCGTCAATAGTTGGAAACCTCTACTTATCTTGGAAAATAAAAGACGAGTGCCTTATCCTACATTAATAACATGCCACAAGCTGCCGCGGTGCCTTCAGCAACTGCGCTGTCCATTTTTTTCATCAAGACAATGCCAGACCACATACTGCTACAGTCACTAGAAACCTCCTCTGACAATTAAGATGGCCCTTTAAGGTTACATCACCTGCTGAACATATAAAAATAAATAAGTTTATCTGCAGCACAAAATGGGCGCTAAGTAATATAAAACAAATATGAGCACTGCAAAAGACAACAGAGTACACATAACAAATACAAAACCAAACAAGGACTAACCAAAACTAAAGTAGATAAACACAGAATTATGAACAGGGTATGGTGGTAATCACATCACCTCTAGAATTACGTGGAAAAGGTTATTTTATGAAATCCTCCCTTAAAACTGCCGAACGTATATGTTTTAAAAAGTTGTGGAATATTATAGGTTGAGTAGACGACAATATATGGAGATGACCTTAAAAGGGAAGCAAGTTTGAATTTCGGAGGAGATGAGTGAAACCTAAATATTAGATTCAAGGTATCTAAACGTAATTTAATTAAATATAATAATAAAATATACTAATACAAAGTGGTGGAGTGCGATCAATGCTCAGCCATTTATATATATGGGATGTGACAGAGGGTTAAGTCGTTTGTCATATCTTATATCGGTATACGACGTCTACCTGTTGGTGTAAGATTAAACGTAAGCAACTCCACGATTGAATTTTTAAGAAAATATTGTAGTACTATTTTCCAAAATATACCGGGTGACGCATTGGTGAACGGAACATAGTAACGGAACATGCAAATTTTCATTTTGTGAAATATTGGCTCCCCTGCACATTTTATTGCAAAGTTGGAATATAACTTTTTGATTAATTCATGCGCCGAGTTTGAATAAATTTGCAAAAGGTCAACACAACAAACTAAAGCGAATATTTTCCATGACGCTATTTCCAAAACTTGACGACGTCACGCATTTTGGTCACACGCACATTTGGTCTCACGCATTCAAAATAAACTACGTATGTAGGTATATCATTATGTTCTTCTTAGGATTAAACTCATACTCGGTTCTTAAGGCCTCCTTGTAGCTTAAAGCGTTCTTGGCATGAATTTCATTTAAAGGACGGTTTAAGCAACAAGGGAGCTTCAAGGAACAACTATAAATTTAAATAACAAAAGTCTTTTACTAAAAATAATTAATAATTATAATAAAAATACGGCTAGAAAACATTGCTAAAAAGAAACATTATTTAAAATAAACATAATTTTTAAGTAAATGTTCAAACATTAACAGTTAAACATCGATCATAAAACTTATTTCTAACATTGCTTAGCTAACATTGTGAAATTCTGTCACATTTTAAGCGTTTTGTTAAAATTAAGATTTTCAAATTTAACATTTTTATAGATAACACTTCAAGTGATCCCATAGAAAGAAATCGTTCGACGAGAGATCAGATCGCCAAAGGTCGGCACCTTGGACCAATAATGTTCCCGTTAAAAGTATTTCCCCAATACTGCCTAACCATACGGGAATTACGCACAGGACAACCATCCATCTAGTACCGTATCTTCTGATCTTCGTGAACAACTTCTTCTATTGCGAGTTCAATTTGATTTTGTCCAAATAAGTTTCTGCCGCGAGGTTATAGTCCGTTAAAAATGGCCTAATAATTCAATGATCAAACGAACTTACCTGGTAAGTGAAGTTCGATCGTAATTATATGTTACACCTCTTCGTAGAAATCAATATACGTAGTCCCCCTTCTAGTCGCTAGGTGGCACCACAGCTTTAAAGCAGAGCCAAAAAACTGTGGAATAACTTACCATGGACGGTATATTCGCCATCTATGGTCTTAACCTCATTCTATTTTAAAGCCCGTTTATAATAAATTTGCCAAAGGGCATTTTAGTACTGTTCAGAACAGTAAATTGGGCGGGAATGGGTGATTTCTACGAAGAGGTGTAACATATAATTACGATCGAACTTCACTTACCAGGTAAGTTCGTTTGATCATTGAATTATATGTTACACCTCTTCTATGAAATCAATATACGTAGACTTTCAAAGGCAACTCAGCAAATTTGTTATAAAACGATTTTATTCGGCTATATAAGGAAATCCAGGAAGTTTATGAAAGCCTCGAGTACAAATACAAAATAAATGGCTATCCGAGAAAACAAACCTTCTGAAAAATTCTATGTCCCAAATGTGGCATTAACAAAAAGGACTGCACTTGCTGTACAAATATATTATAAAAAAGGGGAAAACATTTAGAGCATTCTCACCAATCTGCCGTTTTTCCAATCATATCAATTGAAACACCTTTACAAAACGCAGACGATGTTGAGGCATGTCGAGTTCTGTGAACAGTAAAAATAAAAGTGTAGACAACACTATCTTCTAAAGTTATCTTTATTCATCTACTTTTGTTGGGTATAGTTGCTGCCCTACAAGGCTTTTTAAATGTAATGAGTAAACGAGATTCACTGCCTCTTAAAGCACTGGCCCTCTCAATAATATATATATATATGCAAAATTAAAAAACAGGTCGAGTCTTATTTATAGCTGAAATCTTAATTTGATTCGTTATTCTAATTTCTAATCCATCTGGAAATGATTTTATGTTGACCAATTCTATAAGAGAGAGCGTTTGGACTCTATGTACAATCGTTAACTTCAGTAGGAGAAACTAATTTAATTGTTTTAATGACAGTTAATTGCTTTAATGACAAGTCATTAGAACGTAACCCTTTTACAAAGTCAGGGACATAACTAGGGCCCCAAGTGCTGTTATATCTTGGTTTACTTGGCCTTAGATTATAAACACCTTAAAAAACCTAGTTAGATTTGCATTGTTAAATAAATCTGATCCAAAAATAAGGCCGTGCTGCACTGAAAGAACTCAATGAGCCATAGGACTTGTCTTGTCTAAAATGAATAGTAAGGAAATCTAATACAGCCTAGGTGAGAAGTAATAACACTCCACTCCCCTCCTTTCGTAGAAGCTCCACCAAAGTTTAAATGCATGCAGGTAATAAATGCCTCAAGGTAGCGCTCTGAACAGATGATAGAAAAATATCCAGCAAATCTTCTGGAATGCTTGCCTGACAAAATCCCTGCAGCCAGGGTAAGGGATTTCCACAAAGGGTGACCTCTCCTGTCAAAAGAAGAAGGTAATTTGTCTGGAATTAGAAACAATAAATAACTACAACGCCTCCCATGAAAAAAAAAGCAAACCAATGCTGGCTGTGCCCGTAAGGGATTACTGCGATCCCTGTAGCTCAATCAGCCTTGATTTTTCGTAAAACAAGTGGCAACAAGCAAAACGGGGGGAAAACATAGAAGAAAATTAGGAAATAAACTTTCTGCATTTCTTACTTAGGCGAGAAGCAAACAGTTCGATTTATGGGAATCCTAATTTGCTTGTTATTTTAGCAAAAGCATTGTCCGAAAGGTACCATTCACCATCAAAATTCAAATTCGTGGGTTCCTTATGCGCTTCAAAATTATCGGAAGATCGAATGTAAGATGCTTTAACCCATAACCTCCTTTCTTCACACCAACCCCAAGGCGCCTCGAAATTTCGTTTAAAACAGGAAATTTTACTCACCCTATTCTATTTACATACAAAATAGCAGTTGTCTTATCAATCCTCAAAAGTGTCTCGCAGTTAGTCAAATACGAGGCGAAGCATTAGAGACCAAATGAGGCCGCAGTTAATTCTAGTGCATTAATATGAAACTGAGCTTCCCTAGGACTCCAAAGTCCTCTGGCACAATTCCCCAACCCAAAGGAGTACCATCTGAGAAAATCTCAAGTTTGTAACATTGCTGCCTTACAGGGCATTCAGGATTCTGTAAACTTTTTAGCCATCACATAAAATCCCTCCGTAAATTACAAGGAATTATCATCCGAATATCATAATTATCGACAGAGTCTTGAAGGGCTAGATATTTGATTCTCTCAAAAATTCTTAGTATATACCCAACTGTAACAAACTGCTGGGCAAACTGAAAACTAGCACAGCACAAAGCTCGGCAAAGACTCTTATTTCGCAACGGTTCAAATTGCAAAACTTACTTACTCATCAGAAAAACAAGTGGTGGGATTCAAAAAAACAAAACCTAAAAATTTACGGGATTTCGAAGGATGTAAAACATTCTTATAATTAATAACATAACCCAACCTAATCAGTGTGTTGCAAGTTACTTGAACATTTTTTAAGGATAGCTAACTATCACCAAATAGTAAAGTTATCTAAATAAACTATTGAGGGAAAAGCCTTGGCAGGGAGATAAGAAACCACAGATTTCATTAATTCTGTAAAGGCCCACGGGGCGGTGCATAAACCAAAGGGTAACACGTTAAACTGATAACAGAGAGCATCAAAATAAAATCTTAGAAAATTCTTTTGATTTTCAATTATTGGGACTAGAAAGTAAGCTTCTTTCAAGTCCAGGTGGTCATAAAGGACTTCCCTGTGAAGAGTGTTTCTACTAATTTTCTGTCTTCCAGTTTAAAATGACAAGTGTCAATAAAAGCATTCAGTTTCTTTAAATTTAAAACTAATCAAACCGAACCATCCAATTTTGAAACCAAAAAGATCTGTAAAATAAATTGATTCTTACAAGGTTCGCAAACTGCATTGCACCTATCTCTAACAGGTGTTTGACCACATTACAAATTGAATCTTTTTCTTGTTGGGACCAAACAGGATCTGTCGTAATCAAGTCCTGTATAACTGGCCTCGCAAATGGAATTTTATATCCATCTAACCAAGGTAGAATCTGTGCATCTTGAGTTCTAGAGTTCCAAATGTCCCGAAACTCGTGCAATCTTTCAACAAAAGTACTTACTATTTTTTCCTGGGGACACAACTCCACCCCCTTTCCTCTCGAACCTTCCTGTATTCCCTCTTTTGAGGGTACAATGACTTTCACCCACTTCAGCCTTGCAACTTCCGGGAACGAAGTGGGACGGTCGAGTTTAAATTTGTATGCTATAAAAGTCTTGTTCCGGATGCACCTGACTTTAACTCGGCCACTAATCTGCAGCTAATCTGATTGATTTGAGCCTATCAGCCAAATCTTCTCCATATAAACAAGAGTGCAAAGAAGCATCAACGAGCACTTCCTTCATACAAGGCTGCATTTCATTTGAGACCAGCGAAAGGCTTAACGCGGCTGAACTTCTATATACTGAACCTAAATGGTGTATTTTGCTTAAAACAAATATTGCATTACTCAACATTTCGATGAGAAGTAAGTACTACTCATCCTTAACCGGTTTCAAAAGCAAGGTCAAGAGCGTCCTACCAACCACCATCAAAGCACCCCTTGTTGCAGTCAGTCTCTCATCCCTTTTCTTTCCACCTTTGTTGATGGCAGATTTCATCTGCACATTCAATTTAGGAGAGTTATTGAGCGGGCAATTCTTCGGCACAGGATATCAACGCAAAAGGTCACTGAGACAATCTTCGGACACACCGGATTTCAAAAAGGTATTAATCTGACTTGCCAAAATGTCATGACACATCAAACTTTGTGTTGGGACTATCGACCCCATAGCTTAAAGGCCATTTTGCTTTAAATCCGTCTCAAGGGGCTCAACAATGACATCAGAATTAATTGAAGGGCCTAAAAAATATACTTACGATGGAGTAAATGCATTCCAACAGCCATAAAAAATTGTTCATTATGTCCCAGTATCCCGGGCGCCTCATCCATAGCCGGACGAGCCAGAAAACTCTATTTTTTCGATGTCGAAAAAATATAAAACCATATGTATGGCCGACCCCCTCACAAAAGGATTGCTTCCAATTGTGAAACACTTACATACGACTGCTGTCGTATAAGTGGGAAAGATGGGGGGTCTTTCGAGTTCTGGGGATTCCGATCGGAACCCGGACGATGAAGAAATCGTCTCCCAATTGTAAGAAAATCTCGTTGATGGGAACCACGCCACTAGCGATTATGTAATCGCGGATGGAAAGATTTAATCTTTCGTCGTAGGTAGGTTCTTTCTTCATCCGATAAGGAATAACGTAAATCTCACTTGTACTTCTCCAATTAACTTCCAAAAACGCTGAAAAAAGCTGAAAACACCGACGCCGAATAAAAATGAACATGTGCCACCAAAGCACAAAAAGAGGAATGAGGTTAAGACCATAGATGGCGAATATACCGTCCATGGTAAGTTATTCCACAGTTTTTTGGCTCTGCTTTAAAGCTGTGGTGCCACCTAGCGACTAGAAGGGGGACTACGTATATTGATTTCATAGAAGAGGTGTAACATATAATGGCCAAATTCCCACCATAACATTTATTTTTTGACGATATGCGCTTCGATTATGAACAAAACGATATTAATTGTCTTGTCTAAAATACCGACAGTTTGGAAGATTTGGTTGGTTGTTGAGTGTGAATGTACTTTCATCACAACACTTTGCTACAAACAAAATACTACTTATCGTTCTTCATCACCTTCGGGGAGCTGTTGATGCTTTTCGTATTTATAGGAAAAAAAAAATGTGTGTTTTTTTTAATGTGCGGTTTGATGTTCATTTCCAGCTTGTCCAAGAATCCTATATAATAATATAATATATATACAATATATATACAATATATATATATATATATATATATATATATATATATATATATATATATATATATATATATATAATGTTTTGTTTTAGTCCTTCACGGATGGAACTATGTGTATTGGTGGTAATCCGGGTGTTCATCCGTTCGTTGTTTGACCCTGGAGTAGGACCATTCGTCGACGTTTCGCCAAAATATCACTTGTCATCTTCAGAGGCCGCGCGTCCATATCACTCGTACGTGTCCGCACTTAAACTCGGAATATATATATATATATATATATATATATATATATATATATATATATATATATATATATATATATATATATATATATATATATATATATATATATATATATATATATATATATACATATATATATATATATATATATATATATATATATATATATATATATATATATATATATATATATATATATATATATTCTCACGTATTGATTCACGGATGGAAAAATGTGATGACACTATATTCCGGGATATCATCCGTTCGCTCGTTGAACTCCGACTGGAATCCTGCATCCGACTGGAATCCTGCAAATCTTGCATCCGACTGGAATCCTGCAGACGTTTCGCCAAAATCTCACTTGGCATCTTCAATGCTCGCGCTCCAAAAACACTTCGAACACTGATATATATATATATATATATATATATATATATATATATATATATATATATATATATATATATATATATATATATATATATATATATATATATATATATATATATATATATATATATATATATATATATATATATATATATATATACTTTAAAAATGCCACATCAAACTTGTTGACGATTCGTCACCGGCCATGTTGGTTGTTGGATGCCGCCAAAGTCATTAGTTAAAAACGTGATTTTCAATCTCGCGGCTTCGATGCACCTTCTCAAAAATTATTTTTATGGTCCCTTAATAAGGCCCTCTATATGCTTGTTTACATTTTACAAATTAAAACACCCTGAGTTTTAATGCTCGATGGGCGTATATAATAACAAATATTTACAACCTTAACACCCTCTATTAAATATTAATATTAAATTTAATAACTATACACTATATCAAAGATTAATTTTCATGGTCGATATTAAATTAAATTATTAAATTATTAATTTAAATATTACGAATCTGGCTAGCAGAAAAAAATTTTGGTGGTTCAGTGTGTCCCCTTGTAAACTGATTATTAACGTTGCTTTGAGATTCAGAGCGCGATTCTGCAATTTTCATATTATATACAATATCCCTCGAAAGAAGCGACGAAAATAATAACGAACTTAATTATTCGCGTACCCCCCTCCCCCTACCCATTTAATAGGTGCGCAGTAAGCCCATAATAAATATTATGCAAAAATATCGGAGCGGGGGACATGTTGCCGAATTCCGTATAACTTTAATAATAATGAAAAAACGACAATAATGGACAACATCACCAGTCTGTGGGTATATTTAAAAAACACTGTTATTTCGTGATTTTTTTTTCGGCGGAGGGGTGCTATTAAAACACAATTTGGGGCCCGGGAAGCCGACGGTCCCCGGTACCGAGTTAATAATTAGCGTCTAGCTGCATTATAAAAGATAATGGTCCTTATTTTACCTGAATCAAGTGCTTAAACCGGTGAGATTCTTTTGTGTGCCACCTGGGCCATTGGCGTCGCCGGCTTTTTTTTTCATTTTATATTCTTCAGTTCGAGAACTGTACTGCAAGTGCATAGTTACAGTCTTTAAAAGTATGAGTAGTATATTTAGTAATAAATACCAAATTTCTATTTGTAGATAAAAAAAATTTAATTGTTATTTTGTGAATTTGTTGAAATAAATCAATAAAATTTGCAATATTAATAAAAAATTTATTGTAAATATATATGTATTAGAAAAGAAAAACTAACCAAAACATTCTTTTAAAAAGCCAATAACATAAACTTACTTAAAACTGATAAAATAAAGATGAAACAAATATTCCTATGAACAATATAGTACCAAATTAAACTTAACACACGTTGTTAACTTAAAACGCAAGTTATAAAAAAAGTATATAAATTATTTAAAAAAAGAAAAATTGTTTAGTTTTGCTTGTGTGACTTCTATAGAACAGTCTTTGCAGATTAATTATGAGTAATTTTATTTAACTGAAATATATATTTTTTACTTTTAATGAACAACACAAATTCGAAAATAGACGGTATATTAATAAGAACTGTTTATCGTGACTTTTTAATAGTTTCCAAAAAAAATCAACAATAACATTAACCAACAGGACAGTTTAGTTTTTCGGTCTCCCTTTTTTTTCTCAAATCGCCATCGACTCTCAGCGCAACAAAAGACGCGCGGCGGTTAAATACCCGGGCTAAAACAAATTTCGATATGGGCAAAAAAAAACGAAGCCCAAAATTAAATAATGATTGGAAATGACTTGGCCGGATCCGCTTCTACGAAACATTCGACGCACTGCGAAAAAAAACGGCTCAGCATTCGTCACTCTCGCGGCCATAAACGAGAATTTTTGACTCCAGGCGGGGGGCAGTTCAACGCGTGGCGAACTAATTCCGCGAAAAATTCACTATATATTTATAAATAAAAGTCATAGTGTTGCATTTTCCGTTAATATATCAAAAAGCGCGCTTTAGCGCCATTACTGAAACCGAGACTTACCTCGGATAAGGTGGTTTTAACGAAACACTAAATGCTCTCTCCAACGATTCCAAGTTTGTTCAAATGCGTTGAGTCGTTTAAAAGTTGCAGCTACATATTTATTTAAAAAGCATTTAACCCCCCCACCATCTTATTTGAATGGATACTGTACTACTTCTTCTTCTTCTTCCGTTACCCTATCCGTTACGGATGTTGGCTATTAACAAGGCTATTTTGACTTTGTTCACAGAGTCCCTGAATAGTTTAATCGATGTTAGCCCAAAAAAAAAGGAGTAGGTTATGCATCCACTAGTGTCTTCTCCATCCCGGTCCTCATCTGCTATTGACTTTTCCCTTTACAATTCATTGTGGTAAGGGTACTTGTGAGTTTTTACCGCAAAAACCACTTCTCTACTTTTTCCAAATTTCTGCATCACTTCGGTATATGCAATATGTGGTGGCGTAGAATACGACGATAAATCCATAGCCCAAAGGATTCCAATGTCTTCAGGGTGGTCTGTGTTGTTATCCGCACCTCTACTCCATAAAACAGAAAGAGAAGACATTACATTTAATCAGTCTTAATTCTGTTGAGATTATGTTTGTAAACCATTTTTTCACATTGCTGAATACGAATCGGGCTTTTTCGATTCGAGATTTGAATTTACTAGGCTTCCCAGGTATGTGCATATTTGTTCTAAGACTCGTTTGTTTATTATGATTTGTATCGGACGTCTTTGCGCCTTGCTGATGACCATGCATCTAGTGTTGGCTCTGTTGAGGTTAAAGTCATAGCTTTGACTTGCGGCGTGTATTCTTTGCATAAGTCTTTGTAGTTCGCTGCCATTTCCGATGATAACTGTATAATCAGCATATCTAATGTTGACTTTTGAGCCTTCCCTAAAGATTTGTATGTATGTATATTAAACAGGAGCTGCCAGAGGACGTATCCCTGTTGAACCCCTTTTCTAATCGCTATTCTCTGATTGGACAAGTGTTACCTAGGAGTTCCATGAGTTTAACATAGTTGACATTTAGAGAAGTCAATGAAGCACAGATACACGTCCTTATTCATATCTTTAAATAAGAACTTGTAAAGTGTGTGCACTCCGGAAACCAAACCAGGACGATTTGTTTTCTTCATGTTTACTGTAATTACTGTGATGGATCGGCTACAAAGGTTGATCGTAGCCATTCCTCTGAAATTTTCGTAAAAAGAGTTAAAACGGTCTGTTAAAGAAGTCGAGGAAATGGTCGCCTGCCTTGTACATAAGTTCCAGAATTTCACCTTGTATGTTGTGTTTGTCTTAGCCATCTTGAGTTGCAGTAGTACAATTCTGTCTAGGGAGTGTAGGACTTTTTATGACATTTTGAATTCTTGGGGACAACCTACAACAACCTACTCCATAGGCTAGATTATTATCTGTAATCAGTTTTGAGTGTCCAGCTGCCGATATCCAGTTGATCCAGGTGCTAGTTTTTGGAAGGCTTTTCCTCAATCGCCACCTGGAGAGTCGCCCGATAGAGAACTAGTAACCCCACACGGGGTACTATTTACTAGGTGGATTTTAGAAAATATCACTTTTAGACATCTTCAATTCTGAAAACATTTTCCGCTTTTTTGCACCAAGTCTTTACGACGAATCGTTGCCGAGACCGTGAATTCTTGTATTGCCATCCAAAATGTATATTCTCCTCAGTTTTTCTTCTATAATATGATAGTATATCTCGTCATACTCTATATTTAGCGAATCTAAAAGATTGTTGTCGTCTTTTGACCGGTAAGATGACCACTAAAACCGCCAGACCCAACCGATCTTCATTTTTTGTTTGGGGAGCTTTGGGAAGGAGATCTACAAAATCTCTTCAAGAGACCTTGAACATTTAAAAGAATAAATTTGACATGCTTGTTGGAACTTGTTGGAAGTAAGTTAAGAACCCAGAAAAAAGAAAAAGAAAACTTTTTGACGTCACATATGATGAACCAAGAGAAAAAACAGACAACAGAAGAACT